TAAAATCAATCAATTTATTGTGTCCTCAAATATTATTTGTGTGTCTCAGAGAACCGTCTGCCGGTTCTAATCAACAATCACCTCGTATATTCTCAACAAATAGTTGTCACCTTCGGCCGCATTTGGGGCAGTAGCTACTGTGATGATTCATAAGGGTGGCATGGATGGACGCGCAGAGAGAGGAGGAAGGAAGAAGAAACCCAAATCTCTCTCTTTATAAAATTAAGCATGTCCGAAGCCTTTAAACTCCACTTTTGGGAGATCAGCTTTGGAAGCCTTGGTTGCAGGCCTTTGGAAGCGCTCAATAAACGGCGCTTCCTCGGGGCTTTTGGCCCCATGATCAACTTTAAGCGCGCGCCCTATAAAAGTGTACACAATACCAAACTCCGCTTTTAGCTCATTGTTAAAGTTTCGGGGGCGCTAATTCAAGCGCTGCTTTGGAAGCGCTGGGTCCAGACTCCACAAGCAGGAGCCGGCGCGAAGCGCCGGCGAGTGCTTGTACACCAACATATCGCGTCACGCGATAATGGTGTATCTGGCATCAATCATCGTGCACCCTAAAAAATAATCCTTTGATCGTTTGTTTTATTTTCAGTTATCGTTGGTGAGGGTCCATAAAAAAAACGAGAATAAAAACGGTTATAACCGTTCAAAACGTTTACAAATGAAAACGGTTAGCGCCTTACGGCCGATGTCAGCGGGTATATACGAAGGGCGGCACCTACATACATTCGAATGCCCGGCACATTCAGCTCACAGGTGGCACATTGAGTGAATGTGCCATGCGTGAACGCAAGGGCGGCACATTCCATTTCGGGAATGTGCCGGCCTTGGCACCGACTAAGTATTCTGGGAAAAGACACGTGTCTTTTCTTCACATCCCGCAGATTCCCGCCTCTTGTCCTCTTCCCACCACCACCCCTGGCTCTAGCAACCCCGCCAACGCATCAAACTGCCCACCAATGGCACCAATAACCCGAAGCATAGCGCCACCGACCAGCTCTCCATGGACAGGGTCTCGGTACGCCGATTGATCGACTTCCATACTATGTATGTCGCGCCATGACCCCCCTCGCTGTCCTGTATGTGTGGTGTCCGTGTTTACGCCTTCATTTCAGATACATCCCCAGCTTGCTACATAATTCCGCTCCCCGCACGCGCTTGGTGACAACTTGACACACCGTCTCTCGCGTCGATCTCTGGAGCACAGGCGGTCACGCAGGTATGTTCCTGAATCACGCTGCTCTTGTTTTTCGCTTCTTTAGGTTGATTTCTCACTATTCACAGACCACGCTAACATGTACTCGAGTATGTTCCAGGCCAATATCTTATTTGCATCTAGTCGGCACATACATGGCATGTGCAATATACTGAGACATCTAGGTTGCACACCGAAGCACCTGGCGCCGCGCTCCGATCTTCTAGCCATGCACACATGCCCTGATCTCTAATCTGTGCAGTGCAGTCTCGAGTAAGTTGTCGTACACAGAACTACACGCAACTGGGGGAAGCTTACCTAACATGCACAGGACCTTGTGGATTTGCTCGCTGCGGGGATTACGATTCATGAGACCTATCTGCCATGCACCTCAACCGCATAGGTCACCTTTCATTCTAACGACTCCGCCCTTCCTAGAACTGGTATCTTCGAATTGGAGGTATGCTGTCCTCATGCTGTCAAACTTGAATTACCCCTGATGTTTTTTTATTTGCCCAAATCTTCTTGCGTAGCTCAATATCTGCTGGGTCTCATCTGAACCCCCCGGTATTCATATATCTGCGAGTATCCAGGATTTCTTTGCGGTCATCGCAATATTTACTGACCTCAAGCTGACAGTACCTCAAACCCAGGCATTTCCGCGTGTTTTGTTGAAGAGCCCCGAATTGCTAATACAGCCATTTTTTTTCGCAGAAGGATAGCAGATTCTGTGGCATGGATGGCGTGGGTGGCATTACCTAGGATCGTAGATAAGACTGTTGCTACATACCTTCAATAAATTTATAGCATCTTGTGGTTTCTCAAAAATGCGCCCAGATTTTCACGAATTTGGTTACAAATTGGCAAATTCCCCGAATCCAGCAGAATTATCACAGATTCAGTAAAGTGTATTTTCCTGATGCAGCAAGCCAGCACTAGTACACCCGAATCTCGGACTTGAACAATCATTCTGTTGTACGCCTCTATTATATTTTCCGCTGCCCGAATTTGTTCCCATTTTTCGTTCTCTAGCTCATGCGCACCTAGTCGACATTTCTTCCGGAGTGACTGCCCCCAAGGTGCGAGGTCACCGAGAGCCCGAAGTTGATGAAGAGATAGGCATGTTCCCGAGCTCCAACGGCACGTAAACGCAAATGCAGGAGGCGATTGAAGAGCGCTACACGAAGAAAGTCAAAAAGGTGAGCCAAAAAGAGAATTGCAAACACCACCGATACTCTTGCCAATACTGATTCCAGTTTCAACTAATGACGATACAACTCCAGACATTTACCACTGTTAGATTCCTGTTTTAATCACATTTCTTTCTCTATCGCGTTTCTGCCTTGCGCCCAAGCTTGCGCCGATTAATGTTCAAGTCTTGTAACGCGATGGTAAATGCAGTGCAACTCTTAGGGTCTGAATTGATGGTAGGAATGTGCCGTGGTTTAACAGACACGGCGGCCAACAGAATGTGCCGGCCATCCGCTCATGGGCGGCACATTCGGGGAATATGCCGGCTGTGGCCCTGAATGTGCCGCCTGTAAGCTGAATGTGCCGGGGGGTTCGAATGTATGTACGTGCCGGCTTTGGTCTATCCCGGATGTCAGCCCGGGATAGACCAAGGCCGGCACTTACATACATTCGGACCCCCGGCACATTCACCTGACGGACGGCACATTCCCCGGCACATTCCCCGAATGTGCCGCCCCTGAGTGCATGGCCGGCACATTGTGTTGGCCGCCGCCGTGTCAGTTCAACCACGGCACATTCGTGCCATCAATTCAGACCCTAAGAGTTGCACTGCATTTACCATCGCGTTACAAGACTTGAACATTAATCGGCGCAAGCTTGGGCGCAAGGCAGAAACGCGATAGAGAAAGAAATGTGATTAAAACAGGAATCTAACAGTGGTAAATGTCTGGAGTTGTATCGTCATTAGTTGAAACTGGAATCAGTATTGGCAAGAGTATCGGTGGTGTTTGCAATTCTCTTTTTGGCTCACCTTTTTGACTTTCTTCGTGTAGCGCTCTTCAATCGCCTCCTGCATTTGCGTTTACGTGCCGTTGGAGCTCGGGAACATGCCTATCTCTTCATCAACTTCGGGCTCTCGGTGACCTCGCACCTTGGGGGCAGTCACTCCGGAAGAAATGTCGACTAGGTGCGCATGAGCTAGAGAACGAAAAATGGGAACAAATTCGGGCAGCGGAAAATATAATAGAGGCGTACAACAGAATGATTGTTCAAGTCCGAGATTCGGGTGTACTAGTGCTGGCTTGCTGCATCAGGAAAATACACTTTACTGAATCTGTGATAATTCTGCTGGATTCGGGGAATTTGCCAATTTGTAACCAAATTCGTGAAAATCTGGGCGCATTTTTGAGAAACCACAAGATGCTATAAATTTATTGAAGGTATGTAGCAACAGTCTTATCTACGATCCTAGGTAATGCCACCCACGCCATCCATGCCACAGAATCTGCTATCCTTCTGCGAAAAAAAATGGCTGTATTAGCAATTCGGGGCTCTTCAACAAAACACGCGGAAATGCCTGGGTTTGAGGTACTGTCAGCTTGAGGTCAGTAAATATTGCGATGACCGCAAAGAAATCCTGGATACTCGCAGATATATGAATACCGGGGGGTTCAGATGAGACCCAGCAGATATTGAGCTACGCAAGAAGATTTGGGCAAATAAAAAAACATCAGGGGTAATTCAAGTTTGACAGCATGAGGACAGCATACCTCCAATTCGAAGATACCAGTTCTAGGAAGGGCGGAGTCGTTAGAATGAAAGGTGACCTATGCGGTTGAGGTGCATGGCAGATAGGTCTCATGAATCGTAATCCCCGCAGCGAGCAAATCCACAAGGTCCTGTGCATGTTAGGTAAGCTTCCCCCAGTTGCGTGTAGTTCTGTGTACGACAACTTACTCGAGACTGCACTGCACAGATTAGAGATCAGGGCATGTGTGCATGGCTAGAAGATCGGAGCGCGGCGCCAGGTGCTTCGGTGTGCAACCTAGCAGAGCGGGTACGCCGCGTCGTCGGAGAGCATCCCGACGCCTGGGTCGGAGAGCGTCCCTGCGCCTGCTTTGAAGACGCCCGTCCCGACGCCCGCCGCACCTGCAGACGCATACGGGGGCACGCACGGTGGCGGTGGAATACAGGGCAGCGCCGCCTTGAATTCATCGCGGTTCGAGGATAACGTGCCCACCGGAGACTTCACGCCGCGCATCGAGGGCTCCGCAGCCTTGAACTCCTCCCGCTTCGAGGATAACGTGCCCACCGGAGACTTCACACCGCGCGTCGAGGGCTCCGCAGCCTTGAACTCATCCCGCCTCCAAGACAACGTCCCCACGGGCGATATGCTGGTGTCGCCGAACAGGAGCGAGGAGGCAGACGATGATGCGAGCAGTGGCTCGAACTCGGAGAATGTCGTCGATGCAGACGCAAGCGCGGACGCAGACGGGGACGGCACGAAGAAGAGCAAGAAGACGAAGAAGCCGAAGCTGATGCAGCGCCTCAAGGAGAGGATGCACATCGGCGGGTCGGCGTAGGTGGAGGTGTATGACTTGTGGTCTTTCGCGTGTATGATGTGTATATCCCTTGTACAAGTACGTACAGTGTAATGCCAGTGGTATTTTCTGAGTATTTTAGTACAGTACTAGTGGATTTTCTTGGGATTTCTTTATCCAAAGAACGAAGACTTTCGATTCGGATTCTCAATCAAAACAGTCGAAAGAGGGATCCCGGCCCAGCCTAAAAAAAAACAAAAAACAAAAAAAGGAGATGTCGATATGGACCATTCGGACGCTGGGAGTCGAACCCAGGACTTGCGCCACAAACTGCACTACGTTTTCCCAGGGCCATAGTGTGTGGAGGCGTGCACCATGCACCACGTCCGATTTACTTGTTTGTTTGGGAGTTGGATTAGTGGGTTGGATCTCAACATGATGTGTACAGTGTAATACCAGTTGTATCTGCTTGGAACAGTACTAGTACGAGTGGACTTTCTTTCTTCCAAAGCCTTTGTTCTCATTACAATCGAAAGAGGGATCCACATCCACGTCCCACCTCAAAACAAAAAACAAAAAACAAAAAAAAACAAAAAAAAAAACGCAATGGACTGTTGACCATTCGGACGCTGGGAGTCGAACCCAGGACTCCCGCTTCAACCAATGAAATGAATATATAATATGTACAGGCAATCACCGTACACCACGTCCGATTTACTCACCTGTTTGGGAGTTGGATTAGTGGGTTGGATCTCAACATGATTTGTACAGTGTAATACCAGTTGTATTTGCTCGGAACAGTACTAGTATGAGTGTACTTTCTTTCTTCCAAAGTCTTTGTTCTCATTACAACCGAAAGAGGGAATCCACGTCCCGCCTCAACAAAGAAAAAAGAAACGCAACCACTCTGTACTATTCCGACACCGGGAGTCGAACCCAGGACTCCCGCTACAACAACAACATTTTTGTGCCATTGTGTGCGGGCGTGCACCATGCACCACATCCGATTCGTTTAGTGACTTCGGTAGTTGAATTGGTGCTGTAGAAAAGTTTTCAACTCGAGTCCCTTGGGTTTGCGACTCGTTTGGCAATAAAACACTCGTGAAGTGCGCACTTGAACTCTAATTAATTAAAGGACAAGAGGCTTAGGCTGGGAATATTCGAACTCTTGGAAGAGAAAAAACGGCCGGCAAGTTGAAGAAAAGGAAAAAAAAGAATAAAAAATGCAGAGCTCAGGGCTATTCGGACGCTGGGAGTCGAACCCAAAGCTCCCGCTGAAAATTGCACCACCGTTTCAATAGTGTGTGGGGGCGTGTACCGTGCACCACATCCGAGTTATTTGCTGGCTTTGGGAGATGGATTGGATTGGTACTGTAGGTTGGATTTCAACATGAGTTCCTTAGGTGTGCGGCAATAAACATTCGGTGAACCGCGAATTGCATTCTCTTAGACTTGAATTTCGATTACTATATTTGACCCCTTACCTGGCCACCTAAGCATTCATGCCTCAATCTCAATCTGTCCACTGACCCTACGCGTGCCTAACTGTGTCAGAACGAAGGCATGCTTCCTAGGAAGGATTCAAGACCCTAAGTTCCCAAATATCCCAACATCTGAGTTCACAGTGAATTTCTTTTGCGCGTCAGTACAACATGGTCAAATGACAGGCTAGTTGGCCACCCTGCTAAATAATGGCCTGAGCTCTTAAATATCAGCCACTTGCACTCTAAATCATAGAGGGAGATTGTATTGACCATCTCACACAGTTTTGGTGTATATATGAGGCATACGAAAGGTCAAAAAATCTGGTTCTGACCGATGTGAAACCCCAAAATCGGGGTTGTGAAATGAACAAGCATCCTACAAGTAGAAGAAACACCTAGATGGGCCAAATTAAGATCCAGGCTGCTTAATAGGAAGTATTGGGATGTACCTGAGCACCCAACTCTATCACAAGACGCTGGTAGCTCCTCCAAAAAATCTGACTATTAGCGAGACCGAAAATGGGTGGTTTGAGATAATGGCCTGTAGAGCTATCAGAGGTGAATGGATAAAATCTCGGAATACCTCTCAGAATGGAGGATTTGATAGTAAAAAGTACTCTGTAAGGCTCCAGACCGATAGCAGAGCGGTATCGTGTACCGCCACGGTGGCCAGCATGGAAAAAGGTAAAAGAGAGTCGTGGGACCATTGCTATCCAGTAGCATCAAAGACAGAGGCCCCAGCATCGAGGGATCAGAACGAGCCCCAAAAGTCGTGGATTGACAAAGAAATGGTGGAGAAATAGCTACGGCAAGTGAGGCGATGGCAAGAAATTGAAGTCCAATGATAATTGAAGAAATAAAGTACACGGCACTCTCGGGTATAGAAGGAAACATGTTAACTGATGGGGAAAGGAGGATTGAGCAAATCTAAAAATCAGAGGATAGCTCGCAAACAGTGGTACCCGCTCATCCGACCGATGTCATCGACCAGCAAACGACGCGGACTGCCCATGAATGTCATAGCATGGCGCCGGATTTCGTGCTTGAATCCGAAAGGTACAACTTCTTGTAAAATGAAGGGGAAAATTGTATATTGAACAGGCCTACAGCACCAGTATTTATACCTCCAAGATAACAATGGATAAGTAGAATTGGTATACTAGGGCAATACTGATTTTCCCACTTACAGTGGCAACTATGCTTGAACAATAGTAATCATACTTGAACAATTGTATCCACGGTTGAACCGTGGTAACCACAGTTGAACGTAGTCGAGCTCCACGTGAATACGTGTCCCTTCCGTGTACACATCGCCTTCCGCGCCCGCGCGGTCACAGCCTTGCTGGGATGACGTGTCACCTTCGACCTGCGTTGGTGACGATCTCGACACAACTCTCCCAGTACACGCAGGACAGAGAGTCATTCCAAAAGTTCTTGCTCCTTGATCATCGCGTAGACCTCGAAGGAAGTCGGGGTGTCGCCCAGATGAGCGTGAGGCAAACTCGGGAAATCGAGGTTGGTCCCAGGAAGGAGCCGGTGCGTCGTGGTGAATGAATCGAGGATGAGCCAAAAATGGCAGAGTAGGGCATGTGAGAATTGCGCCCATCATCCCCGTGAGTGAAATGGCTTGGAGTCGGTGGTAAAATTAAGGATCAACGCAGAAAATTTGGACGTTACTAATTGTGACTGGACTGGAAGCGTACATAATTGCAGGGCTGTTGACTACAAGGTCGCATTGTGAGTGAGAGAGGAGAGGGATCATATCGAGGAAAAAACGGCTCGAGTCCCTGCTCATATAAAAGAAGGAAAGGAGGTATTCCCAAGGAAGGATGGGTGTACGGAAGGCCACCCGACCATCGAGTGGCACCCCAGGATGCACTAAAGGCACTTGCATTGGGGTGCCTTAAATCTTGAGGCGTTCCACAACGATGGGCAGCCGCGGTTCGTTGTCAACGTGCGGCGATTGAATAGGATCACCCTTGCGCCATTTGATGCGCGGGTCCGGCCGAGAGAACTTGAAGGCGCGCAGCAGGACGCAGAGTACGACCTCTGGAAGTGAGAGCTCTATCAGTCAGGTTAAATGAAATGCAACTATTCCACTCACTCATCTCTAGTTGCGAGAATTTGAAGCCACTGTGGAAAAGCAAAATATTTAGTTCAAATTCAAGATAGGCAATGAGCACATGACTCGGAGGCGCACATGCAACTCCTGTTTCCGCCAATGAAAGTCATAGTGTTCCCGTAGACCCCGCAGAGCTTCGTGGTGACGGACTCTGCTTTACCGTTTACCCATCGCTCGGGTCTGAACTCCAGTGCATCTTCGCCCCAGACCTGCTTGTCGTGGTTGGATGCCCCAATAGCGATGTAGCATTGGGTTCCTTTGGGGACGTTGATCGCGTTCATAATTGTGCCATCCACCCCAGTGACCGGTGTGCTGAGGGGCATAACGATGTCTTCCACGGGTCTGCAGTCCTTGTTAGAAGATTCGACGGATCAAACCCCAAGACTTACTGGCGGACTACCGCTGGGGTAACAGGTGGATATCTGCCGGGGTATCCAAGTTGAGACATGTGCGAATTACACGACGGGGGACTCACAGTCGCATTGTTTCACGGATAACGGCGTCGAGATAGGGTAGTCCCACAATCGTGTCATGATCCAGGGTTTCCGGGTGGCCGAGAATTTCCGCCCGAAGCTTGTCTTGTACGTCCGGATTTTGTGCGATTACGTGGAGGAACCGGTTCAACGAAGAAGAGGTTGTGTCTGTTGCAGCGAAGATAATAATTCTGTTCACAAAATCAGCACCAGGGTTCCGTAAGGTTCGGTACTTACGAGGTGGAAGCGACGAGCTCTTCGTCGGTGAGGTGCAACCCCTCCTCGCTACACATATTGCTCTTCACTAAATTAAAGAAGTCAGAGGTGGAGAGGTGAATGTCAGATAACACACTCAAGAGGCTCATTATGTCTTTTGCGTCGTCTTTCACCTCCAGCGTACCGTTCCTGATCGCTTCCTTGCGCTCTCGGACGAGGTTCGAGGCAGTAGCGCTCATAAAATCGACGAGGTCACGGATTTCGCGCAGCGCAGGGATCGGGAGTACGCTTATCATGAAGCGGAGAAAGGACCGGGAAGGTATTTTGGCAATGACAGGGACGAGGGGTATCCATATTCCGAGTTTGAAAACCGCGGGACTAGGGATACAAATAAATCAGACCGTCCAAATTCACAGAAGCAGACTGCTTGACACTTACAGTAGGCCCTTCAAAGCCCGCGCATATTGGTCGGTGCGCTCTGTCCCGGGGAGCATGGGATCAAACGAGTAACCAATCCCCGTCTGGCCGATCAGTTCCAAAGATGTGCGACAAAGAATGTTGTTGAAGTCGAGCTACCTTGACGATCAGCCTGGTTCTCAATGCCAAGGCAGAGCGGTACTTGCCTCCTGGGGGCCGTCACGAATGAAGGGTTTAATAAGACCATCTCGAGCCTGCCGGAGGATTGAGATGCAATTAGCAATGCGAAACTAGTTGACATACCCTCTGTACGACTTCATAGAAAATCGGCACCATTCTTCTGAGATTCGTGGTGGAGAAGGCGGGTATCATAATTTTGCGAAACTTGCGGTGGTGGTCCCCCAGAGTGGAGTTTATGCCTGGACCGAAAAGAATCGAGTTTACCCTGAGGTACGCAGTCAGGAAGAATAAGGTGCAGGAGGTCGAATATGACAGACGAAATAAAGTCTTCTTGCTCCTCATAGACATTTTGATCTTTGATGAGGATGCTTTGCAGTGCGGCCGGATCGAACACGAACAACGCACGAGCCTGAAAAACCTTTAGGAGTGCAGCGATAGACAACACCACTTCCTTACACCGAGAAGTCCTTGGAATTTGACAACACGTCCATAATCTTG